TCCTTGGAGCAATTTTTAGACCCTGCGCTGGTGCAGTGGGTTAGGGTTCATTTCCTAGAGGAGGAAGGGACTGATACCACTGACTGGCCCCATCAGCTCAGTGATGCCCTGGTCCAGATCTGGGAGGAGATTCCCAGCAGACCATCCATCGTCTCATTAGGAGCATGTCCCAATATTGTCAGGCGTCCACAGCAGCTTGTGGCGGCTGCAGAAACTACTGAGCAGCATTTTGAGTTGCTCATGGAAACTTTGGCAAAGTGAACTAACCTGCTGCATCTTTTTTTACTTAGATTTTTGAGTTGTTTTTGTATTCAGCTTGTGTAGGTTGATCATTTTCATCAAAATATGTGGCATTGTTTCCTTCCTAAAACGTTACCTAGTCCATATCATTATAGATATATATGCATGTTTTTCCCCATTGTTTTCAAAGTGTTCTTTTAATTTATTTGCACTTTAAACACATCTTATAATCAAGAGAAGCCAGACATCTCTGCAGCTGATTTCTCTAAAACTAGGCAACTGTTTGGGTTGATAAACAGCACTAAGAGCAAGTGGTAAAGCCTTTTGTCAAGAGAGACAGCGACTTGGAGATCCTGCCAGGATCACCACATCCACATAAACAGGTGTCCTCGCATTAGTAGTTTTAGATTTGATTTGTTTAGATTCGTACCAGGCTCTTTACAAATCAGAAGAACAGTTTGTGTACACAAAGTGAATGATGATCTGACTTAAAGGACTCTCGCCTCTTGGCTTGAATGTGAATTGTAACGCTTCAGATCATTGATGCTGCCTCCTAAAATAAAGAGAGTGCACTGTTAGTCACGCTATCTCAGACTGTGGTGGTCCTGAGAAATTGAGGATATGAGGTCAAAAAAGGTTGAAAGACGGGGAGTTACAGTGTGTGTGGAAAGCTGACCAGCCAGCACTCAGGCCAAATGTTTGTAGATGAAATCATTTTCACAGATCTGCACGATTCAGATCACCAGTGAGAAGCCATCTCGGGCCTTTTGTCCTGTAAGAAAACCTGCCATGTCAGCTTTATCAGCACGTCTGGCTCACATAGACCTTCAAAAGTGAGCTCATTTGGAGGTCTGCTTTCTGACTTTGACTCTATTGTTGTCGTAAAATCTTTGCCGGAGAAGCCCTGCAACAATTCTGACAAATTATATTTTGCACCACCACCAGAGATGGCGGGTGAGAAATTTGGCCTGGACCGATTCTGAAGTGTGACATCTTGTTTCTCAGAGGAGGGCAGCAGAGACGAGGAGATGAGGTGAGAAGAGAGGAGGCAGCACCTCCTCTGAATGTGAGAACAGACGAGAGAGAGGATGGGAGTGATGGAGAGACGGTGTGAAGGAGGGCAAGAGGAAAGTGGAAGAGGAGGTGGTATTTGGAGTGAACAGAGCTTCTTAAAGAAATGGCTAAATCAAACATGGATGAATGGCTGATGGACCGTACAGCCCCGAGGCTTCAGGGTTCAAGAAACCGTCAATAACATCAACAGAGCCCTAAGAATTTCTTCCAAAATAAAATAAATCAGGTCAAGTTAGGGTTCAGCTCTCCACTTACTTTGGTGCTGGAGTAATTTTGGGAGCCAGGAAAACTTTGCGCTTACGTGTCTTTCCAGGAATCATGACACGGTTATTTAAAACCTCTACAAACTTTGTTGTGAACAGTTTATGGGACAACTTTTCTTTTTTCTTTTTTTTTACTGTCTACAACCAAAAGAAGCAAACAGCTCACTGTGTGCTCCCAGAAACACCACACGACAGAGGTTTAGGGTCAGAAAGCCAGTCTTTAAAGTGTTTTTAATACATCTTTGCAATTGAAACTATCTGTAAACATAAAAATAGTTTTAGTGCTGAAACCTTATCAAACTTGGAACTGACACAATTTGGTCCTTTTATCAACCACAGCCTGATCTTTATTTGCACTTGGTTGCCGTACATTTCTTCCACTTCACTCACACAAGTTGATTGACCCGTTAAGCTCAGCTGACGGGAGCGGCACTAACATTGTCATGCTTGTTGCAGTGTCTCTGCTATGAGCCTCTTTTCACGCAGCTTTCTTCTACACGTTGATGTGGTTCAGCTTCCCATTTGGGACTTTGTTTCGTTTTCACTTGCTGAGAATTCGGCATGGAAGATTTAATCATCAGCAATCCATCATAGACACACATGTAGGGTAATGTTATTTCATCTTATATGTGCGCTGGGAGCAGGACGGCTCGTCCTCACTGTGCCTTCGATGGCTCTGAGGAGCTTAAAGAGAAGGCAGAAAAGAGACATAAGGGTGTGACAGAAACATGTCGGAGAGAAGACGAAGAGGAAAGGAGGAAGGCATCGGGAAGGGAGAGGAGTGGTGCATTGCAGTGTTCACCCACCCAGCCAACTCGTGTGTTTGCTCAGTATACTTGTGAGGGCTCTTCCTGATGATATTCCTTCCAGAAGTTAAAGAGTAAGCAAGTCCACAATACACGATATTAAAAGACAAGAATTTGCTAGTCAGGATATTAAGAAGTGAAGAATTCAGGAGAGGTTGAAGTCAAAGCTGGAGAGGAATGTGGTTGTTGATGGTCTTCACATGTACAGGAAGGCGAGCGCTGGCGTGTGTTGGAGGAGCTGCTGGATCTCCAGGCTGCCAGGCTGAGTTGTGGTGAACTTTTCCCCAGGAGGGAGTGTTCTGTCTGGGGGAAAGAGAAGATGACCATCTGGCGCCTGTGGAGCTTCTGCTGCGCTGACAGTCAGCTCCCCGACACCCTGCCAGAGTGTCCCTGAGCAAGACACTGGAGATTGAATCCCGTCCATTTCTGGAGTTGCTGAAATTGCTTTATTAACTTGGTTAAGTTATCAAATGTGTTTGCCTTGTTTTCAGTCTTGAATACAGAAGGATATTTATTTAGCTCATGTTTTCATGGGTTTGTTTATCGAGTGGCTGTGTGGGAGAAGGTGCAGCTACCTTCTTTGTCCTTTAATAACATCTCAGATTACACAAAGTAACAGCGAACTCTGACTCGGCTTAAATTCACAGAAGAATGTCAGCCAGTCCAAGATACTTGGAACAAGCTTTCTACCAAGTAAGCTGATGAAGAAATCCGGTGTTGTTGTGCGCTCACACTAAATATTATCCAAGTCATCATTTGTAGAAGTGCAAAGAGTCAAATCCAGGAATTTCCCTTAGCTTGTAGCAGCTAATGCAGCGTGGCTGTGATGGTGGTGTAGATTGCAGCTCGGCACGTCTCTAGAATCTCTCATGAATGTTCACCTGAGCTGAGATCTGGGTGACTTTGAGGACAATGGATTATTCTGAATTCTGGATCATGCAAAGCTACTCTAGCAGACTCCAGTGGTAAGAAAATCACAGCTGTACATGAGTGGAAGGGCTCACATTTGGATGTATTTTTGATGCTGTGCAGATCTAATGCACGAGCGAAAGATGTCAGACCCACACAGAAGTACGAGTGCTCTGCAGTTCAGTCATTTCGACAAGGTGTGTGTGTGTGTGTGTGTGTGTGTGTGTGTGTGTGTGTGTTTACATTCTCCTAGAGATTTGCTCCATATAACACAAGCTGATGACATACAAGTGTTGTATTCATCAGTTGTTTTTGCTATCTTAGGTAAGGGGAATAATTCTGTTTGTACACATTTAGCATCCCTGCTGATTATAAACAGGATAAGTTATAGCTTGTCAAAGCTTGTGGTTTGTGTTTACCTGTTATGTTGAGGATGGTGGTTGCATGTTTTTACTATAATCCATTAAGGGTTTATTACTTGCTACACTCAGTGGGTGCTTCCTTAGGGTCTGGTGCTGGATTGGACCTGTGTTGGCCATCAGAATGACCTGAATTCTTCATGGCATAGATTCAACAAGGTGCTGGAAACATGTAAGATATTCTGGTCTAAAACCACGTGACAGAATCACACAGCTGCTGCAGATCTGTCAGTTGCATCCATCATGTGAATCTCCTGTTCCTGCCTCGAAGGTGCTCGATTGGATTGAGATCTGGTGACTGTGAAGGTCATGTTCAAGAAACCATTATGAGATGAACTCTGTGACACAGCGCGTTATCCTGCTGGAAGCAGGCACTGGGTACACTGAGTACTCAGACAGCCTGGGGCATTTAAATGATACTGTGTTGGTACTGAAGGGCAGAACCTGTGCCAAAAGAAGTGTTCACATCACACCACCAGCAGGAGCCAGAACCACCAATAAAAGGCAGGATGGATCTACCATCAAAATGTTGCAGCAGGATCGGCGGTGATTCTTCAGTCGTCTGTTGAGTCTGTGAGAATTGTATCCTCAGTTTCCTGTTGTTAGCTGAGTGCAGCGGGCTCGATGTGGTCTCTGTGCTATAGCCAGTCTGCTCTAAGGTGCGACGTGTTGTGCGTTTTCAGACGCTCTTCTGCACACCTCAGTTTTCACTGGTCAGTATTTGACTCGCTGTTGCTTCTTATCAACTCAAAGCAGCCTGACCTTTCACTTCTGTCTTCTGGTATCAACAAGGCATTTGCTCCCAGGGAAACTGCAGCTCACAGGATATTTTCTGTTTTTTAAACCTTAGAGATGGTTATGAGGGGAAAGTCATCAGTTTCTGAAATACTCAGACCAACCTGTCCGACACCAACAACAACGTTCAGTCCTTTAAATCACCTTCCTTTAACATTCTGATGCTCAGTCTGAACTTTAGCCGCTTGTCTTGATTACGCCTAAATTCATCGAGTCGCTGTGACTGCTTTTCGAGCAGGTGAAGGCTTGTAGCTAATAAAGTTGCATGTGAGCATCTATGGTATTGATAAGGTTTCTTATTTGGAGGAAAACCTGTTTCAGCTTATTTAGAGGTTAAATAAATAGATGATAGGCAGAAACACAGGATTTACAAGTGCAAGAGCTGCAAGGGTGATTTTAGTTGTGAGTTTGCGTCATGTTGAAAGTCTTCCAGTGATCTGCAGCTCCCGGTCTGACTGACAGATTGTCCTCTGTGTCTGTGTGTTTGCTTTCAGGGGGGACCCGGGACATCGGTTCAGCCCTCACCAGGATGTGCATGAGGCATCGCAGCATCGAGGCCAAACTACGCCAGTTCTCCATGTGGGTAGATCTGTGTGTGTGTGTGTGTGTGTGTGTGTGTGTGTGTGTGTGTGTGTGTGTCTCAGATGAACAGGAGTGGCCTGTCCTCCCAGTTCTCCATGGCAACCTGCTCCTCTGCCTGCCTCAGCTTTTAGATCCTCCATCCTGGTCCATCAGTCTCTGACTCAATCTAATGACATCATCGTGGCTGAAAATAATTATCCAGATCGTTTTTATAAATACACCCTCGTCCATCTTTGTGCCGCCTTCTTTCTGCTTTTACGAATCCTCCTTACACTCTTCATCACTCATGTTTTACATCCACGTGACCGCAGAGTGCAGTATCAGCCCCAGTCAGTCCTGCTGTGACCACATCCTTTCACCAGCTTTCTTTCCAAGAGCCTGTAAACCTCACCTACCGCTCCTCCTGATCAAAATCAGCCTTCCTCTTTTTCATTTTGCCTTCGCTGCATGAGTCCATTAACTCCACCCGTATGAAAGCAGAGAGTCTGAGAGATTGAAGCTGTAAGATGGGACCTCCAGCTGACTCTGTGAATAGGGATGCAGTAGCAGGAGGATGCAGGGTTCACCTCTGTTAATAAAGTATGATGTGTCACGGCAGACATCCAGTTATTTTCTATATGGCTAAGCAAAGCGTCCCAGATGCCCTTCACTCAACCACCTCCCCCCTCCAGCTCCTCGGTGGGGAGGTGTTTCCTGGCCACATGGGATGTAAAATCCTCTTATTGTCACATTATACAGTATCAGGCTGATAAATCTTAAATAAGTGGCCGTGACCTCAGCAGTCATTTAGCTTGGGAATGAAAGCTAATTGGTCCCTTTTCAGGGTTTTTATTCTCTACTTGTAATCACAGCATTTATTCTAGACCAACGTTTCTGAGACTGTGAGGCTGCTGCTGGTGTGCAGATGACCAGGGGGAAACACAGGAGTGAAACTAGTGTTGGACTTCCTTTTAATGCTGGACATATGCACAGCAGCTCATGTAAATCCCAGTAAATATGACCTCATAATATCTAATGGCTCCTGATCTCTGTCAGCCTTTAATTACTAAATGGAAAAATGACCTCAGAATAAATCCTCTTACAAACTGCTTTATGAATCAGCTCTCTTCTTCATTCAAGAAACTGAATACATATGCTTGTGTCAAATTATTGGTAAATCCAAACTTCTTAGAAGTGGCATCCTGGGAATGATCTCCATGCACCAGTTTACTGGTGATCGAGCCCCAACGGAGGCAGAGAGGCTCATGCATGCTCCGGATGCTGTATGCACACTTAAATCTGATCTGTATGCTTAAAAATATCAAGTCCTTTGATTTCTGCACGTGCGTCAGTTCTGTTAGGAAGAAACCGCTGCAGCTAATCACTCTGCTAATGATGCCCACACACACATCTGCATTAATTCCCCACAGATTTAATCCGGCCTTCATCTTTAATTTGATTTGTGTTGTGTGGTCTTTGTTTTTGTCTGCAAAAGGAACAGATTTAACCATACGTGGTGTGTGTGTGTGTGTGTGCGCGTGTGTGTGCGTGCGTGCGTGTGTGTGCGTGTGCGTGTGCGTGCGTGCGTGCGTGTGTGTGTGCGCTTTCAGGGTGTTTCTGGACTGTCTGATCAACCCTCTACAGGAGCAGATGGAGGAGTGGAAAAGAGTCGCCAACACTCTGGATAAAGACCATGCCAAAGGTTTCATACACACACACACACACACACACACACACACACACACACACACACACACACACACACACACAACCTCTACATGCATCTCAAACTTCACACGCTGTTTGCATTCACACTGTGTTTGTGTGCGTTTTCCAGAGTACAAGAAAGCCCGTCAGGAGATCAAGAAGAGATCATCAGACACTCTAAAGCTGCAGAAGAAAGCTAAGAAAGGTTTGTCACGTGTGGGTTCACTGCATAAAAAACTGCGGCTGAGGGGCTGCGATATTTTGCTGCAACTTGAAACTGTTTAAATTAAACACTTTGTGGTATTTGTGGGAAAATTCAATCAGTAGTTGTTTTATAGGGTGTAACTGGCATGGAGCAATGTGCAGATGTAAAAGCTAATATCATGTTTTTATGTGTTTCCTTTGGCGTCCCATCATGCTTTGCTCGTCCAGCTGATGTTTTCGGTAAGTACACACCCATCTATCCACCTTTCTAGCTCTTCTCAATAATGCAAAAGGCTCAGGAGACTGGTGTTTTCCATTTTTACTTCTCCAATGTTTAGTCTGAGTGGTTTTAATATTTCAATAATAAAAAAAGTGTGTTAAAGTTTTCCACGATAATCCAGAGGGCGAGCTTAGAGGGTTGTGAATATATCAACATGGTGAATATGAGACAGTCGCACTCTGACACCTCCAGCTCAGTTTGAGTTTGACATCCAGCCCACTTCGGTCGGCTGAAACATGTTCCCATGCTGTTTAGATGTTTGTGTGACTCACACAACAAAGACTAGAGGCACACTGAACGAGAGTCTTCAAAGGAAATATTTTCATGGCTCGTTCAGTAAAACCGTGTCAACCAGTGTGACTCAGCCCCGAACGCAGCACACGACAGGGTCAGCACCAAATGTTTGGGGTTGTGGAGAGGCTCAGTCAAGCAAGGGAGTTCAAACATCTTGGAATCTTCTTCACATGCGATGGGAAGTCGGAGAGCATTGGATTGGTGAAGCCACTGTGAAGAGAGCGTTGCTCAAAGGTGGACCGTTCGATTTACCCGTCCATCGACTCTTCACCTCTGGTCACAAAGTCTGGGTAATGACTGAAAGAGTCATGTTGTGACGCCTCAGCTGATTCGGATTCAGAGTAAACAGACTACAGGTGTGAAAACGTCCTTAGTTTCATCTGAAGGGTGGGTGGGCTCGGGCTTAGCGATAGGGCGATGAGCTCGGACATCTGGAGGAATCCGGGGGAGTAGAGCTGTCGCTCCTGCAGCGTCAAAATGAGCCAGTTAAGGTGGCTCGGGCTGAATAGATTACTTATCTCATCTGGAATAGGAATGCTTTGGGAACCCCCAGAGGGAACTGGAAAGTTTGCTTAGGGTGCCGCCACCATGACTTGACTTCAGATAAGTAGAAGAGGGCGGGCGGATGAACGGACGCTGACAGAGCTGCTGAGGTTATCCAGCATGTTTGAGGTGTGATGAAGAAGTTTGGAAAACAGCTCCATAAAGACCAAAAGCCCTTATTAATGTAAAATGAACTGAGCTCCTGTTCAGCATCGTCTTCTCGGGCATGCTTCCACGCTGATGCTATTTTCAGATAACAACCTGGAGGTCCACGTTAGCGACGCCCTCAACAGCTCCATCTAGCAGCAGTGAACACAGTACGTGCTGAATCCTGTGTAAAGCACCGTTACCTGTGCAGACTGCGATTTCAACCGAGGACCTCAAACTTGAGAGAGCAGAGATCGATGAGGATCATTGTAGATGATGAGAGCTATAACACAGCCGATATCAGTGGTCTGTCTAAATGCAGTGATATCAGGATATAGTTTGATCATTCACAGTTGTAGATGATGCTCCTCCAGGGTCAGGCTGTTAATGCAGAGTAAACCTCTTATTTGCAGGCTCTTAGAGCTGATAGCATGACCGCTGACTTGACTAAATTGTTCTAAAATAACTTTTAGGATAGCATGAAGTCCAGTGGAATTACAGGAATGTGATGTGGCAATATTACTTCTTCACTCTGCCCGCTGAACTCCAAAGGACTACGAGTAAACACCAAAACAGGCTCTGCTTTTAGAACAAGTAGTCCCAGTCTGAGCAATCGCACTGAAACGAGCCTTATTATGACTGGAAACAAAAGCTCGTTGTTGCTGCCAACAAAGGACTCGATGGTTTCCAGCTTTGAATTGAGCTTCTAAGACAAAACAAACAGGAACCAGGGTTGACCCCAGAGGAACCTCAGATGTGGTCAGACTGCTTCAGTCCTCAGGTCCTCCCAGCCTGTTATTACTGCACGAGAGGAAACTCCCTCTGCACTGGAGTGGATGTCACGAGGGAAGAGGACATGGAGAAGTTTCAAGGAAGGAAAAAAAGAGGTGGAGGAACTTGAGCTGGAATGAAATGAATGTAATGACAGGAGACTGGAAAATGAAGGGAAAGCTCTGAGTAAGAGTTAATATTATGAGAAACAGATTGAGGGGAAACCACCTTAAGAAAGGTTTTTTATTTATAGCGCTGGCTTTGAGCACGGGAACTCGGAATGGATCGAGTTTAAACAGGAAAAGGTGAAAGAAACTGTTGATGCGAAGCTGGAAACAGCACAGCTGGTCTAAAGCGGTGGGTCATGTGTGAGGTGAGCTCCAGTACCCCATCATAGACACCACCATGTAGTGCTGAATTTAATTGGGTGTTATGGTCCTCTATAGATTTTATTATAGTATCACATGGGATCCTGGAGTTGCTGGAGTTTGAAAATCCAGTTTTGTAGCTGACAGTTTGCACCAGTTTGTCTTCATGTCTCTTTTAAATTCAAATATGTGGATGTGTTTTATATGTGTGTGTGTGTGTGTGTGTGTGTGTGTGTGTGTGTGTGTGTGTGTGTGTGTGTGTGTGTGTGTGTGTGTGTGTGTGTGTGTGTGTGTGTGTGTGTCTAAAAAAAATTAAAAACCTAGCAACTGCAGGTATCCAGGGTACAACAGAAATAATGTGCTGCTTCGTTGAAGGGTCACCACCGCAGATCATATTCCACTAGCATCTTGTAAATCTTCCCTTTTACTCTCATTCTTTATTTATCCAGGTGAAAAGTGATTTGTGATGAGATTTAAATCTAATTTCCAAGAGACACCTGGGCAATTGTCTCCACCCACTCCACCTTGCCTGCACTCTTGTGCATTGACCTTTTGCTTTGGGTGTTTGACTCCAGGTATTTAAACTCATCCCATTAAGATTTGAATTATTATTGCATCAGTTCCCAATAACAATTATCCGAAGGAATCTTAAAAATCAGAGAAAGTAAGATCCTACAATGAGAGAGCGAGAGAGAGAACCCGAATGACCAGGCGATGTCTTGGCGATGGCAAAAACTCCCTTTTAACAGGAAGAGACCTCAGATCCAGGTTCAGGGAGGGACAGCCATCTGCAGCGACCAACGAGGGGCGAGAGGACAGAAAGACCATGAACCGGTTAGGTTATTGGGTTTGGTAAATGCAACGTTCTCACGCAGACCCCTGATTGCATTACAGTGGAACTCCATGTTGTCCAATCCTTTGGAGTGCACAAGCTTGCAAAAAAATCTGTTGTCTTGGGATTGTGGGTCTTCTCAGTTTGACCTGTATCGAAAAGGCTACGCAAAGGTCAACAGAGGACACGAGGATGAGGAGAAAAGAAAGCATTCAGAAATGTCTCGATTTAGACAAAAAAGGAGGCGATCGTGAGATAAACAAGAACATAAGAGCGATGTTCTGCCCGAGACATCCTGTTTGTTTGAATTCTGTGGGAAACTTGGAATTACGTTCACATTTCTGGAAGCAAGTCTTCACCATTTCTTTCCTCTTTATCACTGAAGCCTGTGCTTGGAAAATTCTTACAGAGAGACGGCGCGCGTTCTCCCGTCTATCAGCCCGACCACAGAAGCCGGCCTCGGATCTCGCTGGAGGAATGAGGAACTTTAATTGCATGTTTATGTCTGTCCTCAAATCCAGAAGATGAGATTACCAAACGATCGCTTTAAAGAGGAGAAACTGAACCCCAGAGCACCATGTGGAGGGGGAAAGACAGCAGTTGTTAGGAGTGAAATTAGCTGATTAAATGTGATCTCGTCACACAAAAGTGAACGTCGCTTTGAGGTTTAGAAAATTGCTGCAGGCATTTTTCAGTCTGCTCTGTCATGTCATGTCAAGAAAAGACTGAGTAATCACATGTTGGTCTGCCTGCTCTCTGCCGCTGTGGGCCTCGGCTGCAAGCGGTTCATGGCACTGTCCGTGGTTTTAACGAATTGGGGGTGCAGGGTGCATTTTGGAGGGGGCCTCGTTATTGATGGATTAACTCAGATTTTGTTCTCCAGTGAGTGTTTAAGGAAGCAGGACAGTCTGAGGAATCAAAATAAACTTGCATCCATGGTAATGATTCATGTCATGCCACATAACGGTTTAAAAGCTGTTCTCTGGACATGACAGGAAGTTGTCTTAAAGCAGTGTGCTTGGGTAACTTCTTGCATATTTCAGCAAGAAGCTGAAACATTTCAGATCCATCACTAACAGAAGACACCAAAGCAGCTGTTGACAAGCTAACATCCTCTAAAGTGTAGCTGTGGGCTGATGAAACCAGCAAGGAAAGAATTCAGTATTGCACAATGCATTCATTACATGTTATAATACAGCAGTGCAGAAATATTAACTTAACAGCCTCGGGAGACCCGGGTGGCCTGTTTCCGATCTGTGCCGCTATACTCATTGTCAAAAATGGTTCTAAACTTGCTTTCAGCCAACAGCCAAATAAAGAAGGAATAAAGCTGCATTTAAGACTCTGGAATTCTTTTCTGAATTATTCCTATCAGTGAAAGTAAAGACCTGATGCTGTTTTTCAGAGAATCGTTTGGTCAGTAGATCTGGAGGTGGTCAGGTCTGCAGCATAAGTTGTGAACTTTCTTCATAAGATGGAAATCACAGGGTGAAACCTGAAGTTCCTTCGCTAAGCCCTGAATCCTGTTTCGTAATACGCGGGCAAATGGAAGAAAAGAGTAAAATACGCCTGGATGTAGTAATGACTCACCAGGGATGATCTAAGTCGCCTTATACTCCTGTTCAACATTTCCACATTTCCAATTGGAACATATGAATTTACCAGAATTAACGTGTAGCGTGCTAAGATCCCCAAACACCCGACATATTCAGCCCCCGGGAAACCCACACCCACAATAGCTGCTCTCGATCAGTCAATGAAACAATGTAAAAATAGTTCAGCTTTGCTCTGTGTCACAAAGTAAATTAACTAATCCAATTACAGTCGCTGTGGGAGATGATATTAAAGCAGATACAGACTCCAGCTCATCAGACTCATGTCGCAACGGCCGTGTCGACACGTGAAATCAGTTTAATCTTCTGTGTATGAAACCGCTTTAGTAAAGACTTGGAGTAAGGGAGAGTTGAGACATTTGGACAGAGTTAAAAAATAAACCAGAAGCATTTCATAAAAGCAGCAATGTAATTTCAAAATGGCAAACATTATTAATGTGTGGTGTGTTTTCAGTGGGATTCCAGTGGTTGTTTGTTTCCAGCTGACTGATCGCCAGAGAGAAAAGCCTTGTTTGAGACTTTAATGTGGTTAATGGTTTGTGGGAGGCTCTGACTGTTGTTTTTGAAGCCACTGAGTGATCGTAGTTTCAGAGCAGGCTCTGCTCTTTGTAGCTAAAGTTCTGTTCAGTGAGAATTGGATTTCACAGATGGCTGATAATCTGGCTGCAGCTGTGAGGCTGCCTCCTCTTTAGTTCTGTGTGAGTTTGTTGATCTGAGCCAAGATGGACTGAAGTGATTGCATTTTGTTAACGCCACAGAAACGGTTCCTCTGCTCATGTGTAGGTCTGCAAGAGAGAGAGATTTAGAAAACTCTGGTGTTACCTTTGGGTGGCTGCTTAAGTTTAAAAGTTTAAATCAGCATTTTGAAAGACAACTTTTTCTTTTTTTGTGTATCGTTTTGATTTTTAGTTACTTTTTATTGCAAATAGTCCCCATTTCCTTTCTTTTTAGGCTATTTTATGCCTTAAAGATACTTCCTGTGACTAAAACTTTCATCAGCAGAGGGCAGCATTTTTCCAGAATGTTTGCTATTTCTTCTTTTCTTCATTGCTTGATTTCCACAGGAGGTTTTACCTTGTGCCCATCCCCCACTGTAAAAGAGAATGTGTTTTAGTGACGGGCACAAACTTTGGAACAAAGCAGGCCCAATTCAAACTTTTTGTTCTGTAGCTTTTGCACCCATTCACAGGTCTAGAGACCGGTTGGCAACTGGTCACTAGGGAAAAATGACTATTCTCCAACTGGTTGGCAAGTGGTTGTGAGGGTCTGCTTGCTGTTTCTAGTTGAAATTGGATGCAACGAGGTATGTGCACGTGTTTGTGTTCAGGCCGTGGAGACCTGCAGCCCCAGCTGGACAGCGCCATGCAGGACGTCAGCGATAAGTACCTGCTGCTGGAGGAGACGGAGAAGCAGGCGGTGAGGAGGGCGCTGGTGGAGGAGAGGAGTCGCTTTTGCTGCTTCGTGTCCATGCTGCGGCCTGTCGTGGTCAGTGATGCATTCAAACTGTTTATGCACAACACAGAAAGATGTTTGGAGCTCTAACTACAGTTACGCAGAAACTCTGCAAGCCTTTGAAGAAACACCTGGCCCCCTTTAGATTTGTATGTTTATGCTTTGCTGGACGTCAGCAGCTGCAATCCAAATGTAAATCTCTGACGAACATCAACTCCTACACCTTCTGTGCTGCAGCTCTCTCTTTAAACCTCCTGTGGAGCAGCTGCTGTGATGACGTCAGTCTCAAAGCTGTTTTTTGTGTAGAATTTGCAGCTGATGAATGTTTGTGTGTCTCAGGAGGAGGAGATGTCCATGCTGGGGGAGATTACACACCTCCAGACGCTGACAGACGACCTGAAGATGCTAACCATGGACCCACACAAGCTGCCCGCTTCCAGTGAGCAGGTACTCGTGGTGCTGTGAGGGGTCGTGTGACCACACAATCGAACGATTTGTCCTCTGTTATAAATGTCTCAGTTTCAGCCCCGTTCTGTACCGATTAAAATATTTCAGAAGGGTTTTTGATTTAAGCACGTTCAGTACACCTTCACTCACTCTACCCGCTGATCAGTGGTAACCTCGACACGGAGTAAACACGCCTTCCTTTGACCTGACTGCACACAGACACCTTCACAGAAACATCATAGACGATTCACAGCATTTTTTTCTCTCCAGGTAATCGTAGACCTGAAGGGCTCCGAGTGCACCTGGTCCTACCAAACTCCTCCCTCGTCACCAAGCACCACCGTATCCAGGAAGTCCAGCATGTGCAGGTTAGTTATGTGGCTGCTGCCAGCTGCTTATTATCTCAACAATAGAGGGAGATAAGGTGGTCTGCTGAGAGCCTGTCCTCTGCTGCCCCTCTGTGGTTAACAAGTGGAACTACAGCTTTTTTTTTTAAATCATCGATTTTTTTGAAAGTTTTGATTTATCAAAGAGAAATAACTCCAGTAAATGTTATTTTACCATCATGTCTTATTACTCAGAATATTTCATCTGCCTGACTCATTTTTCGGGTTGATTGTTTATTCTTTCATGTGATGAGCTGAGATTTTAAAACAGAAAATCAGCGAATGACTTCAGAGCTTCTCAGGTTTCCTTCTTTCTGACATTTATTTGTCTCCTCCCGTCCGGCCCACAGCAGCCTGAACAGCGTGAACAGCAGCGACTCTCGCTCCAGCGGCTCACACTGTCACTCCCCGACCTCCCACTTCCGTTATCGCGCCTCCTCCTCCTCTTCCTCCTCAGTGCTGCCCCAGCAGACACCTGCCCGCCTCTCTTCAATCTCCTCACACGACTCTGGCTTCATCTCTCAGGACGCCTACCAGTCCAAATCCCCTTCACCGATGCCCCCAGAGACCCTGCAGGTAACAAAAGTCGCGGCTCAGTGCTTTTAGTCATCGACTCACTGAGAACAGACGCCAAAAATAAACCAGTGAGTTCTGTTTATAATGTCTGCGGATGTTCCCCAGTTCCTACGATGTGGTGTGTTTGTTAGTTGGAAGCCACATGTCGCGTGTGCGTGTCTCAGTAACCTCAGAGAGATAGATGGTTTCTATCTATAAACTCGAGGTATCGTCAAATTTAGAGCCATGTCTAACACTCATAACAACAACATCATCTTTTGCTGTTACTTGTTTAAAAACAAAAAAGTCAATCTCGTCGTCATGTTGGAGAAATGACAAAATCCTGAACGAGACCAGGATATACAGCAACGACATTCATTCAGACGTCATCTGCATCCAGTCTTGTTAAGCGCCTTCAGGGTACAGACACTGGTCAGTGTTTACGTTGTCGAGCCTACACAGGCTTTATTTTAAATAGATCAGTTCCTCTCGCACTCAACGATCCTGGTGCCCAATCAGGTGGAGGTGATGATATCGCCCCTGGCTCTAGCTGTGAGACGCCTCAGGCGGGAATTGGAACTGCAGCACCTGCTTACCACTACGCTACCCAGCTGCATATACATACATGTATATACATTTATATATAAAACACATCATAGGCACTACTCGAGTTAAGCTATTTTAAATACAATCATTTTAGTTTTAGTGCTGTGCCAAGATAATTTACATTAATTAAATATCCAAAGACGGAGCGTGAAGGTGTCCACTGATGTTTTTTCAGCAAAGATAATTAGGACGTAAAGATTATATGTAGTCAGTTTGTTTGTGCTGATAATTTAGCACATGAACAAAATGACAGGATGTTTGTGTGTGAGAGGAAGTTCAGAGTGCGACAGCCTGCTGTGTGCTTTCATCTTCACCTCACCTCAGTAACCCAGCGCGCTGTGACACTGATCAGCCATGCTGCTATTATAAAACTTTAACCAGTCATGAATCACATAATAGAAGAAGACACAGACCTGAAGCTTCAGCCTGCGTTAGCTCTGTTTCTGATTTTCACTCCAACATGACTCACTGTTAAATATAATGAGAAAATACTAGCAGTAGTGCTTTAAAAAAAAAAAATTTCATAAAGTTGATAGTTTCTCTTTCCACCTGCTGAACCGGCTTCTGCTTCGTCTTTGCTCTGTTTGACCTCTGACCTGGGATCAGTGTTTGGGAGATTACAGCTTCTCATTAAATGTTTCATAGATTCACTCCTCCTAACACATCCTAACCCAATTTCACTGCACTTAAACCCGTCTTAATCATTTTAGACGTGCAGAAATCTGAAAACTGCATGTGCATTAATGCTCCCCAGCACTGGTTGTCCTGCTGTTCTAACCTGTTTGTTGCTGCTTCCTCTGCTTTTCTCTCGTGTCTGTGTTTTGATCTGTTTTCTTGGCTTCCCTCTGTGCTTCCTGCAAACTGCTGTCTCTGTGTGCGCTCTGCATGGCGCTGCTGCAGTCGTGCGTCTCTGCTTCACCCTCTCAGTCTGTCACTGTGGGGCCTTCCTCGTACTCCTCTTCTTCCTCACCCTCACACCCCGAGCCACGCTCTGGGCAGCAGCAGGTGAACACGTAGACACACAATTGTGTTAGTGTTTTGTTGTTCTTGTTTTTCCAGGTGAGTCGTGTGTCAGCTTTTATTTTTGAGTGATATGAACGGGAGCCTTCATGAAGCACAAAAAGCCGACTGCACAGAAACGTTTCCAGCTGCTTAACAAATCCAATTACATTCAGTGCTCAACACTGGCAACGAATAAATGAACAATTAAAATATAATCTAGTGTTGGCTGAGGAGGAAGAAATATTCCAGGTTTGATTGGCAGCCTGATAATCATCAACATCCTGAAAACTAAGAACAGCACACGATGTTCACTCCACCGTGAAATGGATTAAAAGATTACTCGCATGTAAAGGGAACCCAGCTCTGTGAGCAATAAAGGGACCAAAAACAAACAGATTTCCCCTCAGGTTTGTCAAACAGAAACATTTACAAAAGCCAAAGAAATCCCAGTCTGGTCTGTTTATGGTCAGAGTGTGTCAGGGTGAAGAGGTCAGGTTACCTGGTCATTTTACCAGGTAACTGTTCAGAATATATGAGATATTTATATGATGAGGCTCTCAGGCAAACAGTTATTCTAAACTTTTTAAAATCAATATTGAGTCGACATGTTTGATTTACTCGTGAATGCACAGTTGGGACTGAGTGACTTTGATGCACATCTCAGCTACGTCACTAAAACAGGAAACGTGCAGTGAAACCTAATGAACATCACCATATGGTCCCCAGTGATGGTTCATAATTTAGTTGGTTATCAGAACTTATGCAGGGCTCTCGTCCTCCTCCTCCGGCAGGGCTTCACATGGATAAATTGCCAAAACAAAAAACACAACAAAGATCGACTTTCATTATATTTGCTGAGATGTTATTGGCTTAAGTAAAAGTATCTTTAGCGTAGAATAAAATTACTCTGTTGCAATTAAAGATGCATAAATGTGAAATACAAATGTGTAGGGAGTATTTCGGGTGGCATTAGTTGAAGCGAATTTTTGTAAGACTACAAATTCTTTTCATAATTGTTTTGCAAAATCTCAGAAACTGGGAAAGGCCAGTGAAATAAAATACTGATTAAAAAGTGAAAAAATCATCTGCTTCAAAGAAACTCCAGATGAAATCGTCAGTGCTATAAATCAGGATGTTTGATGTTTGGAGGTGTATGAATGCTGGGACCTCACTGCCACCCAAACATTAGCTTTTTCTGCCGCATGAAGCACCTGTTTTTGCGCTCATGTCTCGTGTTTTCACTCCTCGGTCGTGAGCGTCATCTTTAATTTTTGAATTGTTTCTGCTTCTTCATTCATTCACATTCAGTTGACAAATGGGTTTGACCATCACGGAGCCCAGGACCCCCACCTCCACCCTTCATACTTCTCCTACTCCTCTCCCACCACCACTACCACCACCTCTCCCATCTCCTCGCCCTCCTGTTCGTCCGTTTCACCCACGTGGCCGTGGTCTCGCTCAGGCTGCGGCCAATCAGGAGAGTTCCTGCCTCTCAGCCCCTCGGGGCTTGGAGTGATCCCATCATCCAGAGTCCCGTCCTGGAAGGTTTGATCCTCATTCTCCCCGATGTCCTCCTCTTTTCTTTGAGTTGATCTGTGTGTTATTTTCTCTTCTTTCTTGATGTCAGTTCATTCTCTCAAAAGTTTCTCATTTTCCAGTCAATTCAATTTAGGATCAATTTCACCTGATATTTTTGTTAATTTTATTCCTGCTTATCTTTAAGATTAAAAATTGAAACGTAAACTTTAAAACAACATTGATTATCACTATACAGAGAGCCTTGCTTACCTGTGCTGGTGACAGGTGTGAGTTTTCAGGTTGTCCATTTTTCAGGTACTTTTTTACAAAACTCCTCTCACCACCAGGTGGCAGCATTTTACCTAAAAGCGTTAGCCTAGCTGTTCAGCCGAGAACTACAACTTCTACTTTCAAATGTACATAACTTCTAATCCAGTGTTTCATAGCCTGTAGCCTTGTTGTGATAATGCAAGCTCGAATAATTCTGAGATTTTTCATGTTGTGTTTGGGGCAAATCGGATTCTTCATTCATAAAGCTGAGAATGCAGCCCGGTCCTGCAACACCCACCGGACAGAGACGCCTTTAACATGATGCCATAGCTGTTTCCTCACATTCTGTCGACGGGTTCATTCAGATGTCAAATTGAATTGTTGCCCACATGCTAAATGCATTTAAAGTCTTCTGTACATATGTACGAATCAACCACAACATTAAACATCTGACTAATTTTGTGTAGGTCCCTGTTATGCTGTTAAAACAACTCTGACCTATAAGGACCACAGCGAGTGTTCTGTGGGGTGACTGGCTCTGGGATGGTGACAGTCTGGTCCTTTCGGCCCGCTGGGCTGTGGGACAGGGTGTCTGCTCTGGTGTTCTGATTGGATTTGGGATATAAGGACTTTTCCTCAATGACTTGTTCTTGTGGCGTATCCTCTCCTGATGGGGGAGGCAGCTGCCGTTGGGGAGTGTCATTGGAGGTTTTTGTTTAGGTGGGCGGTATGCGATAAAGTCCAATCCTTATGGACACCAGGACGCAAGTAAACGATCAGCGTCGATTCATTTCACCTGTGTGTGGTTTTAATGTTGTGGCTGAGTTGTAAACTCCAACTTCACTGGGAGGTGGAGGCATCCAACTGCAAGGCTGTGGTTTACATTTTTACAGTTTATATAATAGCTTCTACTTTTAAAGGCGTGTTTTGAGGTGCGGCCTATAAAATGGTTTGGTTTGCTTGCATAGACCTCTGGTGTTCTTGCAACAGTTTCCAAATGTTTGCTCACAGCAGCAAACATGAGCATTTTTGTCATTTCTATAAAAGAAACATCCCTCTGTTCATGCTTCTATTTGGATGTTTGACTAATGGACAAAATTAACAACAATATTAAAAAACTATTTTACTGTTATTGATGATATCTTCCTGTGTAGGATTGGGCCAAACCAGGCCCGTACGATCAGCCCATGGTTAATACCCTGAAGAGGAGCAAGGACAGGAGAGAGACTACAGATCCCAGCAGCCACCAGGGTGCTGATGTCACCACACCAGGAGAGGAGCCAAACAGGGGCAAAGGAAACAACACTTCATCATCCCCCAAGGTCGGACACAATGACCAGCAAAATGCCAAACAAGTCCTTGAATAGAAAGTCACATGACTAACTGGGAGCATTGTGATTGGACAGACGAATCCCAATAATTCACATATTCCCGTGTGTGTGTGTGTGTGTGTGTGTGTGTGTGTGTGTGTGTGTGTGTGTGTGTGTGTGTGTGTCTGACAGGTGGACAGGGAGACCCGTGAGGAGCTGGCCAGAGCTCTGGCCCGCGGCCTCCAGCTGGACATCCACGGCTCCAGCAGAGATTCCCTGCAAGGCTCCAGCGGCTACAGCAGCCAGACCAACACACCCTGCTGCTCAGAGGACACCATCTCCTCACAGGGTAAACGTACTTAACTTACTCCCACCAGATTAATTAAATACAAACTACTTCACAGTTTAACTCCAGCAAAGGATGCGTTGCTGCTAAGCTCAGCACTAACTTTATTCAAATGTTCACTGGACCCAGAAACAAGCCTGAATTGAATCACTGAAAAACAAACTTCCGTTGTGTCTCTTCTGAACGTCTCAAATCTCGCTCTGGTCTAAACTCTAAACAGAAAAAATCTAATTAAAGTTAACGTGAATTAAAAAGACTTTAATTATATAATATCTGGGGAATGCTTGAGATCATCAGCTGACTCTGCTCTATTCAAACAAATTCTGTTATCGTGCTAAATTCTCCCCCCTCCTGGTCTCTGTAGTATCGGACTGTGACTACTACTCTGTGGGAGCAGATCAGGAGGTGGAGCAGCAGTCCTCAGACTTTGATAAATCCTCCACCATCCCGAGGAACAGCGACATCACCCAGTCCTACCGCCGCATGTTTCAGTCTAAACGCCCTGCTTCCACTGCTGGCCTGCCTTCCAACCCCTCTGCTGTAATCACCCCGGGGGTTGCTACTATCAGACGGACACCGTCCTCCAAACCCAACTTGCGACGACCATCCGGGGGCCTCAACCTGGGCCCCATCCCCATCAAGCCCCCCATGATCCCAGTTAAGACTCCCACTGTGCCTGAACACCCTGGATTCCCCAGCAAAGCAGCGTCAGAAGACGGCAACACCCCGCGGACCCCGCTAAGCCCGGCCACCACTCCTCTGTCACCAGGCAGCAACGGGTCATTGTCACCAAAGTCTGTCCCTTGGGAGATCCAGCACATGGGCAAGGGATTGGATCCTCCAACCCCACCTCCACAGCCCAGCGGTCGGTCATCAGAGTGGGAGCGCCGACCCCTCCCAGAGCTCTTGGAGGAAACAGAATACGCTGAGGTGGAGGACTTTCTGGTGGCCATCCGACGAGGTGTCAAGCTCAAGAAGACGACAACCAACGACCGATCAGCACCAATGATTCACTGAGACTGCAAAGGTTGGTTTGACATGAGCCATTTTGTGTCCCTGGCTGAAAATACTGTTGGAAGGGACACAAAATGGTTAATGCTAAGTAAAAGCAAATCGCTATGACATCAAATGGATGCCAGTAACAGGAGGAAGTTGCCCAGAGACTCTGATTGAGGATCATTTTAGAAATCTTGTCTTTTAGCAGTGATTACAAAAAAATGTGCATTTTCACAGTTTGGCCAAAGAGTAATAATATTTGCATTTAAATCAAACAAAGACCGAGTCCATTGTCAGCTGGGATCGCCTCCAGCCTCACCTGCACAGGTGCACAAGGAGAAATTTTAAGTAAACTTTCCACAAAGTGTTGACTGGACTTGTTAAGCACATCTCCCTTTAAAATCAGTTCTAGTTCCTGCGCGAGGCCGAGCCAGGAACTCTGATCCGAGATCGTTTCCTCAGGGCAACTTCGATAACAGAGCGAGGGAGACGGGATCATCCTGACGACCGAGAGACGCCTGGACAAGGTCGACCTTGTAGCAGGAAAAAAGAGGCTTAAATGAAATGAAATCCTAATGTTGGGGAGAAGTGAAGGTAGAAGAAGAAGAGAACACTTCTCAGACAGACGACGCTGAGCTGGGAGGAGTGATGGAATATTTTCGAAAGATCAAATCATTATTTGTATGTACATATTTCTATTTTGATGTGTTTGTATGTTTTACACCCTCGTAGTCTCCCATTTCCACTAAAGGTGCCAAAAGCCTGTGTGCTGAATACGACTTACATATTTAATGCTGGATTTTCTTTATGTACAAACATGAGTATGGTGTTTGACAGAGAGTTGTACTTGGACACCACCTGAAAGAGGATTTGTATATGTAGAGCAGCGTATTGAAGAGTGGCGTGTAACCATTCGCAACTAAGGATTTTCTGTTGTTACAGTAGACTGACCTGCGTGTATTCAGTTTGCCTCAGTATAAATGATCCTTTTGCCTCTTAAACCGAATAAGAAAACCCCGGCAGCAGGAGAGGATCAGGAACTCTGGATGGAACAACTCGAGGTTAAGGCTGCTGTCCAAACAACGTCCCGGCTCTGAATTTCTAAGCTGAAAACAATACTGCAAGGTGCCATTGGAGGTTCATTTCCTCTCACTGCGATTCTGTGCTTGTCAAAAGCACTTTGTGAAATTTGAGCAATTTAAAAATGCACAAAAATACAGAAACACCATTAGCAACGCAGCATGGCCACAGCGTGCGTCAGCCAACACTCCAAGTCCATAGCAGTGCAGTAACAGAGGCTACCACAGTTTCCTCCTGTGCTACTGCGTATCTGTAGTAAATACAATCATGTGGATTTGTGTATTGGTCTGGTGTAATAGAAGTGTGCTGATTTAGGAGGCACAGATTTAAACAGTTGTGGATGTTATTTTAGTGAAGTTACTGCTCGGTCAGTGCTTAAATTATTGGCCTGTGACCTGATGTTTAATGCTTAATATCTAAAACGCAGAAAATCTGGTCTATGTTGTATAACTCAGTCGTAGTTAGCACTTTTTACTAAATACTGAAATGTGCAGTGTGCACATATTAAATTGTGTGTAAGCCAGAAATGTGTACAAGTCTAAGGATAGCCGACTTCCCAAAAATGCCAAATGACTGCCCTGAAAGAGCAAGACGGTTGAACACAGTCACTTTGGAAGGCTGAACGTGGTCGGTCGACCCCCCCAGTATTCTGCCTACAAGTATAAACGGTGTCATGTATAAAAATCTCTAAAGAGAGGAGATGCACAACACGCTGGTTTGGAGTTTAGCTTGTTTTTAGTCCCAAACTGTTACTTACTAGCCTAAAAACACCAACTGTTCAGTGTGTGGAGGTGTTTCAGGTGGTGCGGGACACGCTGTGGTAACCATGTTGGAGGTCCAACACTTTATACAGCTATGAAGTCAAATCCTTCACACGCTGATCCACAGAGTGCCGTTCACGTCTTATTCATCTTGGTCCTGAAATTGTCTCCAGTTCAGAGACTGCTCGAAAAAAAATGAACAAAAATAAAGTCAAATTATTATTAACGCCCACTTCTATTTGAGCTTTGATATATCATCACTTAGAAAAGTGATTCTACGAGTAGTCCTGTCGTGCCTCATCGTATTTTACAAAAATTAAGATCTGATGCTAGTGCACGACTGCACGAGCTCATCCCATCAAATTTAGAGATGCCATTAAAAATAACCAACAGCTGTCAATGATTGGTGAGAACAAAGCTCTAATTGATGTTTTTAAAAACACTGAGCCTCAGCTGCCTGTGGACCTCCACAGTGACACCACACGAGGCCGACGTGACCCACCAGGAGATCCTCTTAGCTGCACACAATCAGACCCTGCTGCATACTAATATGAATATAAGTCCAGTACGTATGTATACTTTAACTGTACTAGCTTGTTAATACATGTCAGATTTTAGCTGTCAGCAAGCTGAAATACACTAAAACTCCCATTTCTACCAAATAGCACTGCTAATATGTAGTCACCACATAATTATTACGTGCTTTAAGCATTTATTAATTTAAATATTCCCATCTTTTTCGTTTGACCTGTTGAGCATATAAAACCTATTAACGAGACTATATTTAATATGCATGTCGTCTTTCGTTTGCTTTGTTTAGCTGAGCATAATGATTTATTAGCCTGCTTCTCTCCTCTGTTGATCCAACTCTTCTGGACCAGGATGCAGTTTAGATTCCTGCAGGATGCAGAAACGTTTCCTGCTGTGTGTGACGGTTGTTTGACGCCCTGTACGACAACCGAAGCCGGCTTCGTTTTTTAAAAAAATCCAGGCTTATTCTCCTGTGCAGGTTTACAAATCCAGTCGTGTGTGGCTGACGCGATAACAAGCGTATGAAGCTGAGTGTTTGAGCTGTGAAGACTCTGTAGATGTTTGTCATCGATGATCCGAGTGAGGCCGACACACACTGAGGATCAGAGGAGCGTTAGAATTCCCGTCAAAGCTGGAAAATGATTCGTTTAAATGTGTCACACATTCAGAGCGCACCGGGTTAGAAAAACCAAGTTAGATGAAAAGCCAGCGACCCGGTCCTCAGTGTGTTGAGACGCCACTCTTGTCCCCGAGCTGTAAACACAGCAGCTGTCAGTGTGTCCGTTTAACCCTTTAAACTTCAGCCTTTCATTTTCAGATGAGTTGCCTAATGTCTTACCGTATATGCTTAAAGAAGCTCTGGGTTTGATTTCTTTGTATGATACTCCTCCTTCAGGTGCTCTCCTATAACTATGAGGTTTCCCTCGTGCATTTCCTCAACAGATTTTGATACAGCCACTTTATTTTATGGAAAGTATCAGAATTAGAATTTTGGCCCTTAGATTAATTATCACCATAGTCTCGGGTGCACGTTTTACAAAAAATGCATTTTTAGTCAGTTATCATTTATTGCACAACAACAAAAAGCCTATTTAAAAATATTTCAAATATCTTTCTTGTAAGTTTGAAGCATTATGATTTATTTTGTCAGATGTACACGTACTGTGGTGGATTCTCATTGTAAACGTGGCCACAGATTCAGATATGAAGTCAGTGTTTGTTCATGTCGGCTTTTTATGCTCTCAGATCTTTCAGGCACTGAGAGAGACCCCTCGGCACGTTTAAGCCCCACCCACCTGCCGTTGAGCCTTCTGTTTGCCGGACCCATCCAATCAGCAGAAAGCTGGCTTAAAGGTATCTTAAAGAGGGAGGAGCCAGAGTGAAAAATGCATTTTATAAATCACAGATTGAGGCCTAAACTTTGGGACAGCAGTCCTTTACTTCCCCAGTTTGCTCTTACGATGGTAAATAAAAGGCGGATTTTAAGGCAAACTGCAGCTCTTATTAATAAAAAGACTTTAAATTAGACTTACAAAAACAACCGCGTACAGTGTGTCAGGTAAAAAGTCTGCTCCAGTTCTGATTTATAAAAGTTATTATCAGCTACGCCTTCGTAGTGAAATGTCAAAAACTAAATCCGTTAAAAATTCAGCAACGAGGTTGAGATCAACAGCTTCGCTAACATCACTCACTCACTATAATAATCACTTTAAGCCGATGTACAAGTGAGGTTTAATTTTTATTGATTTTAATAAAAGTAACTGCACATGAATGTAACTTTTTACTGACAAATTTCCCACTAGCCTTGAACTCAGCATGGCTCCTGTAAGAACAGCAGCTTTTCTCCATCTCATTTCAGCTGTTTTTTAAAACCGTGAGGAAACAAACAGGTTTTATTAAAATCCTAAATCTGCAGCAGCTACAGACCTTTCCAGCGCTGTGACGAACTCACTCCTGCCTGTGGTGCTAGAAGTAAAAAACCTTTTTTATTTAATTTTTTTTACTACTTTTGTAATTCTGTAAATTCTGCTTCATGTTCCTGAATATTAATCATCTTTTTCTATGTAAACCGGTTTTTTGTTGGATCTTGGCTGTAAAATAAAATCGTACGTTCGATGTGCACCTGATGACGAGGGAAACCTGCGCTTTGCTTTTATCGTTTTTTGTTTCTATTTAACTTCATGAGGCTAAAGTAGGAAACCTTTAGTTTGACTGTGAGCTTGGGCTTAAGATAAACGATTGGTTATCTTTGGTCCTACTTTTTCATGCAAGACGTTTTGATTGTCCCTTAATAAACTTATCAAGTACTGACAAATAATTGAGTCTATTTATTCATTCGAGGTTGTTGATGCTCCAAATCACGATTTTCATCGTTTATTTTGTAAATGAATCAGCATCCGATATTACGAAAATCAGGTTTCTTATTCTGATAAAATGATTTAACCAGAGGAAGCAGGAGGACGAGGACGCGCTGGGAAACGTCTGATATGAATTAAAGATGTGCAGGCTTCCGTCTACGAGTCGATCGACAGATTTTATTTGTTCTGGTGAGATTTAAATCAAGTTCTTTGAAATATAAGGAAGTTATTTTAGGGTTTTACTCTTTTGTTCTTATAAATAAAGACATAAAATGACAACATTTCACCATTATGATTATTTAAAGATATGTTTACTAAGTAAATCTCCAAAAAGTTGATTCTGTTCATCTGGACGTAGAAACGTTTCGTCATCATCCAACTGCCTCCTTCAGTCTCAGCTGACTGCAGGTTTTCTTATAAACAGAACATTTGCATAATGACTGAAACCAGCCCAGTGAGGGAACAATGGGCCGGGAGGTCAGTTCCTCAGTTCCTTCTCATGGCCATTGATCAACAACCACTGATCAATGGCCATGAGAACCATTCACAGAGAGCTGGGGAATGGCTGCAATCACAGCACAGTTTACAAAGTGAGTTTTGGGTTCAGGTGAGAGTTTACAAGATTTTCTTAGGATTAAACCAGAAATGTTTTAAAGGAATAAAACAAATATACACTCAAAGTGCTTCACACTACATATTTAACCATAGATTCAAGCAAATGCTTCGGTCTGTACACTTTACCTGCATCTCTCCTCTGGGTGAACATGCAAACTCCAGGCGGGGTTTGAACCAGGAACCTGCTCATGAGAAACCTGCAGTCCAGAGCGCGGAAGAATAAGGATAAACCAAGATGGTAATCAGTGATGTGATGAGTCTTTATCCAGCGAGTGTGCAGAGATCCTCAGTCATACTCATGTCTGCTTCAAAACACCAAGCTGAGTGTTCGACCTCAGCAGACCTCATGACCAGTCAGTGATGTCGCTCGGCAGGTTTTGAGACACGCATACAAATGACGCGATTGGACTAGAGCGATGCTGTAACGACCCCACGCACATTAGGTGGTCCTCGATTGTAATGGGGAGCGAAACGCAGTCGAGCTGTGTAAGCAGGTACGAGTGGGAAAAGGGCTAAAAGTGACCTCACAGTGGCTACATCCATCTTTGCTTTACAGTCTGAGCTCATGATTCAAATGAACGTGCTGTTTTCAGGACCTTTAAACACTGAACGTGAGCTCAGTCCTGCTCGCAGCAGCGTGCTCAGCCTGGAGTCCCCAATGAATGAATGAACGAGAGGTCAGTGAAGCATCACCTGCAGAGCCACAAGCAAACACTCGTATTCATTTACTTTTGTTTTAATTGCACATAATGTTGCAAAATACATCCACACATCATCCTTCAACAGTCCAGGTTGTTCGGTACATACTGTACATGCATCAGTGCGCAGCGGCTGTTCCAGACTGTCCACCAGATGGCAGCACAGCACGGCATTCCTTTACCCGACAGCCTTACATGACAAACTTCTTGTTTATAGGCTTCAAAGGATGACTTCACACAATTAAATGAAGGAAAATATCATCTTAAAAAAGCAAAACAAACAAAGTTTGATTAAAATCTTTTCCTCGTGTAAAATAAACACAAACATGAGATGACAGAAAAGCAAACGAGTTCTCTGAAGCATCCTCAGTTTTACCAGGTTCACACAGACTCAGACTTAACTAATCTGTCCTAATGAGACGGGCAGACAAAGAGCTCACTTCCCTCGAGGCTTTTACAGTTAATCCAACGACAAACTTGAATGTCTCCTGCAGTCGAGTCCAAACCCTCATTAAAACACCGTGCAAACATTTCTGTCTGAGCTCACAGCTCTTAATTCCTTTAATTCAGAGGATGCGTTGGGATTCGTGCTTAAAGCGTCTCCGTCCCTCTGAAGACAAACATTTCATAATCTGCTAGAAAAACAGCAGGACTCAAAACCACACATCACAGTTTTTATCAGGAAACTTGTGATGGCGGGAGGACGTCTGAAGAATGTAAGGCTGATAAAAACAAGATAATGATGCTGTGATGATCGACCTGGATCAACCTTCATCTCGCAACTGCTGAACCACACCGCAGCCAACGTTCTCTAATTATCCATCAGTTTGCTTTGGATTGCACAAAACATATTGAACAAAAACTGCACATTATTGCACTGATCAGACATCAAAGCCCAGCAGAGAACAGAGGGGTGGAGCCTATCCCAGCTGTCACAGGGTGACAGGTCGAGCACCTCGTAGGGAAAGATGTCTGATGTAGAATGAGCTGATAGAAGACTGCAGGAGGAAGAGAAGTCCTTCTAAACATCTAACAGCCTGAAAATACTCACTGTGTGTTTTAAGCAGCTGGCAAAGACATTTTCACCTATTAGAAACAAAAACAATCTGATTTTTGCCTCTAAAATGTGAGAATCTGAATTATCCAAGTAAGTCTCAGCAGCTCCTGGAATAATAAGATGATTTCTGACAGTTTGTTAAATCTAAAAATGATGAAGCTGCTGATCAATAAGAAAAGAGTCACTGTGGAAGCCCAAATCAAGCAGCAAACAAAACACTGAGACAGGAAGCTGGGGGCGCGGGCGTCTGAGGATGAAGAGGGTTCAGCGTCGTTATAAGAAGCACCTTAGAGGTCTGTCGACAGCTGGAGTGTTTAATGGTGACAAAGTCTGAGCCACTTCTCTGACTTTGAATCGCACCTTCTCAGGCACCATCTGCAGCTTCAAGTCATCAAACAAAAGCTAACAAAAAGAAGGAAAACCTGGATGCGAGTGAAGCGACCGTGTGAGAGAACGAAGGAAAAGATGGTGGAGAAAGTAAAACAAACAGATACAGAGCGACCTTGGAAAGCTCAGAACGGAGCCCAGAGCTGAAAATAGAAACTTCAGTTTCACCTCCTACATCTCTAAGCACTCATAAAAACCATCTGATGAGATTACAGAGCTACACAAGTTCATGCAAACACAGAAATCATTCCTCGAGGTAGCAGATGACACGTTTTCAGATTTGCAGGATGGCGGCGACTCGACGGGGAAGTCCGCTCGCTTCCAGAGCAAGTCGTGACAAAACACTTGTTGCTTTGACTCATGAATAAATAGTGTTTTTGGAGATGAAGTCTGTAAATGTATAAAGTGTCTGCTGAAGAGAAAATTTAAAAATTTGTGCTTTTTTCTTTTTTTTGTTCCTCCAATTAATCAGAGATCAAAACGAAACGTGAGCTAGTGTCTGAAACAGTCGCGTCCGTGTTTCTGCTGTCGGGATGGGAAACACTCGTCGCTGCTACAGCGCCGATGTCTGGGAAGAATAAACCACACCGGCGGTGCTGAGACTGCAGAGGGTTTCCCATCCTCCGAGCTGCCCGGGCGGATTTACACGAGCCGTCTGTGGGAGGGAAATCAAAGTTTTGTTCCACCAGAGAAGCATCGATTCTTCCCATCAGCCCCTGGGACCGAGTCGCAGAGAGGAAAGCCGAACATGTGAATTTCTGGGAACTCGACTAACATACTGATACGGGGGGAAAAAACTACTGGATTAAATGCCAAGCAGCGAAATCAGCACCAAGGTTACGCGTATGTTCGTTTTGCACAGGCCTCTCTCTCCAGGGTCTCCGCCAGCACCGCATCTCCCTTTTTATCAGGTTAAAATTAGGACACATCACAGCGTGAGACTCCAGGATCCCTTTTTTATGCTAAGCAACCTCTGACTGCTGAAACTGTGAAAGGAAATGTGGCGTCAAAACACCGCGTGCAGCAAAACCATTGAAACTGCTCCTGCAGCTTTACTTCGTATCCCTTTGTGAATTTCCACTTGTTCCCAGCTTCCGTGTGGTCTCCTCGCAGATTTGGGCGCTTTAGCTTCACACTGCACGGAGAGCTGAGCTGGTGATGTGACAGCGGGAACAGAGTCCAGGAGTGAATCCATTATTGTGGACGTTTGTGGTGCTGGAATAGTTGGAAAACATGCGGTTGGAGCACAAAGCGACAAACCTTCGATAAGCCATGAAACTGAATGTTTAAAACGTTTTGATTAACGGTGCAAATTCACGCACTGCACCGATCGGCTACCTGCTGCCCACCTGCAGTGACCTAGATCGGCTAAACAAGTTTTTACTACAAACACTGATAAAGTCATGCTGGCAATGAGCAGTGCACTGAGATCTGCAGCCTCACCTGGTCAGGTATGACCAACCGCTAACATCAGCAAGAGATTTTTGGATATTCATAAACTGATATGTGGGATTAAAGCGGAATAGCTGCTAAATTAAACCCAGTTTTCTATTTGTGCTGCTCAACAGAGGCGGAGCAGATTCTCATTTCAGATGATGTGTCACAAAGACGTGCTTTTACAGTCTGAGCCACATCCACACTGGGGCTGCAACAACATCAGATTTTTCACATTATCGTGATTTTAAATCAGCCTGAATTATCAATAAGGATCTTTTTGCTTTCAGTAAATCATATTTAATGCTTTCTCCTTTAGTGATGAGTCACAATACATCCATACAGAAGTGGTTCAGTGACTATTAGAACACTTTCTGCACAGGCAGAAACCCCTCACTGTGACCCATCACCTGGATTATGTCTCCTAGTTACTCCTAGCAGTCTTTCAGGGGGTCACGAGTGGACGTTATTGGCATTTATTGTGTGCTTTTCCTCTTTTTTGGCAAATAAATTACTCTGAAAATGTGCGTGCAGGGACTCTGCAGCCATAAAGATTATAACAACTATGCGGCCGTTTCCTCTCTGCTTTTGCGCCCAGAACACTGGGAATGGGACTGATATGAAGAATCGATGAGAATCGCAGCTTGAACCTCCCGCTGAACCAACAGATGCCGCTTTCTTGGAGCCGACGGTGTAAAAATAACTCTGGTCGCGGTCAGCGGCCAATTACGTTCCCTCAAACTGTACGCCGCCCGAGCAGGATGACAGAGAAACGTCCGACTGTAAATACTTTTTTTTTTCTTTTCTTAGAGCTGTGACATCAGCAGTGTTATGAAGATGTAGTGGCGTGTTAGGAGGAGCCTGATGGCGCGTCGCCGTCCTCCTTCTCGTCGTCGTCGCCTAGGAAAAACAGCGGGAACATCCCCAAAATACAGCCGATGGACACGCCGATGGCCTTACCCTGCAGCAGGAGGCGAAGGAGAAATCATCAGAATCTGTTATCCTCAAACAGTCGGGTGTGCAGAGGTGAAACTAGCTTCGGAAAGTCTGGGCAGCGATGCTCTTATCTCAGGATACATGGATTATTCATGAGGCGGTAGTTTTAGCTTCCCTTTCATGCTCTTACACACCTCTGACAGGATCTGTTTGATACGAATAAACTCTGTTTCCTTATTTTAAACACTCATGTGGCTCCACCACAAACTTCCTGCATTTTCGCCCCTTTGAACATTATCTGTTGTGATAAGTGCAGCTGATTATAATCAACACTTTATTTAATAACCTGGAAAAGTGGAGCGCCCTGCTTGCTCTGAGATAAAGAAGCATGAACTCCTGCTTCCTCTTCCTTCCCATTATCCCTCTTTTGTTGCCACTACGAATAAGAACATGAAGAGGATTTAAAAATAAGACCCAAAGGAAAAACCTCACCATGTGAGAGCTGAGCCTGGTCTGCCACATGTCCACCTGCTTGGGCGTCAGATCTGGAACCTGCATCCCCAGTTTGGAGGCTAGAACCTCCACATAACCTGCAAGACTTCACACAGACAACAAATGTGTGTTAATCGCTGCACAGGCATTTAGTGACATCACTTCACCCAAAAATAAAACACGTGCTCGTGGTTTTCCATCCATGTCCTTCATGTGCGAGTTGCCCAGTTTTGGGGACATCAGCTGTGGAGACGTCTGCGATAATTCCTGCAGAAACTGAAATCTGCGAAACGGGCCGATGCAGATCAAGTTTGCCAGCATTCAGTGCCAACGCTTTGCATGCTTTGGATGCTGGTTTAGCAGCTTTGTCTTCTTCCAGACGTTATTCAAACCAAGTAAAAACTTCCATAACTGCTCAACCAACCAAAGGGAGCGTGCAGCCAGCTCACATCCCAGCTCAGCTGAGGCTTACAGGGGTCAGAGGTCACAGTAATAGGAATAGGAAATCCCAGACAGTTTGTTCTGTTCATGTGGCTTCAGCGTTTTCAGTGGGAGAAATGTTTCATCACTCATCCAGGTGATTCTGCCTCGACATTTGTGCTGAACTACACACTCGGGATAAGGCTAGCCTTCTTCTGCACAACTGTTAGCGCAATTAAAAAGGCCGAACAGCAAAGTTTGAGCCTCTGAAGTGAAGATCCTGTTAACATAAACACTGTATATACACACACACACTCAACAGTTTCATTTTCAAACCCGGAAAACAGGAAGAGCTCATAACATGTGTGTATTTTTGGATGTTTTAGTGCCGGAGTAACGATTAAAACTAAACCAGATCAGATCAACAGCTAAAAATCTGTTTTTCATTCAGACTGATTAAAACTGAAACACAGAGAAGCTTCACATCTCCTGTGTGAAGACATCTGCTGACTGCACACCTTCTTCAACACAAAACCGTCCTTTCAAAGATGATATCAGACTTTAGTTACAGTGTAAACCTTTTACTACAGATAAATAAGAAAATAAAAGGTATTTAACACAGAAAAATCACCAAACTACAAAAACAGAAACACAACAGGACAAACTTCACGTCATTGATTGAAATCTTTGAGCAGTTCTAACTTGCTTTAAACAGACTTCACACAGTTCGCCCAGAATAAACCGAAAAGCCTCAGAGGCCGTTTATAAAGATGCTGCTTACCCGAGCCCCGCCAGATCTGAAACCAGGTTCCCCAGAGCCGCCGCTGCAAACACAAAGAGGCACACACTTTGGTTTCTGCTGCTCTCACAAAGAACAACAGCGAGCACAGTGACAGACACAAATGCATCAGACACACAGAAAAGAAATGCTGAGGATTTGTGAAACTCAATGATTTGATTTATGCAGATCTTAATATCTAATTATGAAAATAACGGCATCATTTGTGATTTCTGTGAACAGTATCGATCTCTTTCAGACGCTCCTAAGTCATCTTCTCATTCCCAGAACTTTAACAGACTTTAAGAAGCTTTATAGTTTCAGAAAAACCAAACTCCTCCTGAGACTCTCACAGAAACACGAGGTTTATTCAGACTGAATCAGAAATCTGATAACCATCAAGTTCCTCTGGGAGGCCACGCGCCAAAATCTCTGAAGGAAATCTGCTCACTGCTGTGCTGACGTCCATCAAACACAACTTAAGCCTGACACATTACACACACACACACACGCACGTACACGCACACACACACACGCACACACATGCACACACACACACACACACACACACATGCACGTACATGCACACACACACACATGCACGTACACGCACACACACGCACGTACATGCACACACACACACACACACACACACACACACACATGCACACGCACACATACATGCACGCACGCACACGCACACACATACATGCACGCACACTCACACACATACATGCACGCACACTCACACACATACATGCACTCACATGCACACACACACATACATGCACGTGCACACGCACGCGTGCGTGCACACATACATGCATGCACTCGCACATGCACACACACACGCACGCACGCACACGCACACACACGCACGCACACACACACACTCGCACACATACATGCATGCACTCGCACATGCACACTTACATGCACGCACATGCACACACACACATGCACACACACACACACGCACGCACGCACACGCGCACACACACACACGCACGCACACTCGCACACATACATGCATGCACTCGCACATGCACACTTACATGCACGCACATGCACACATGCACACACGCACATGCACACACGCACACACGCACATGCACACACGCACACATGTACACACGCACTCAAATCAAATCACTTTTATAGTCACATCACATGTGCAGGTACATTGGTACAGCACATGTGAGTGAAATTCTTGTGTGCGAGCTTCACAAGCAACAGAGTTGTGCAAAATACAAGAATGTAAACAAGCAAAATACAAGAATGGCTACATCTGAAACTAATAAATATATGTACAATATATAATAGTATATGCAAAAAAAATAAAAAAAATAAAATAATTTCTGGATGTGTATACTAAATGTTTTTCTATGTGTGTGTGTGCATACACATATTTTACAAATTAAATAGAGTCAACAATAAATAAAATATATAAAAATATACAGAGTTGAGACATGTGCAAAACAAGTGGCATTTATATACAGTGTGGAGTGCATAATGTTGAAGTTCCAGTAGTGAAGCTGAGGTGTCTATGAAGTGTTCAGCAGTCTGATGGCCTGATGGAAAAAGCTGTCTCTCAGTCTGCTGGTACGGGACCGGATGCTGCAGAACCTCCTTCCTGATGGTAGCAGTCTGAACAGTTTATGGCTGGGGTGACTGGAGTCCTTGATGATCCTCCCCGCTTTCCTCAGGCACCGCTTCCTGTAGATGTCTTGGAGGGAGGGAAGCTCACCTCCAATTATCCGTTCAGAGCACCGCACTACTCGCTGGAGAGCTTTGCAGTTGTAGGCGGTGCTGTTGCCGTACCAGGTGGTGATGCATCCAGTGAGGATGCTCTCAGTGGCACAGTGATAGAAGGTCCTGAGGATGCGGGGGCTCATGCCGAATCTTTTCAGTCTCCTGAGAAAGAAGAGGCACTGCTGCGCCTTCTTCACTGTTTTGTTTGTGTGTACTGACCACGTAAGATCCTCAGCCAGATGTACACCAATGAAGCGGAAGCTGCTCACTCTCTCCACAGCAGCGCCGTTGATGGTGATGGGGGTGTGTACTTCTCTGCACCTCCGGAAGTCCACTATCAACTCCTTTGTCTTTGCGACGTTGAGGGTGAGATGGTTGTCTTGACACCAGTGGGTCAGGGCGCTGACCTCCTCCCTGTAAGCCGTCTCATCACCGTTGGTGATAAGACCCACCACTGTAGTGTCGTCCGCAAACTTCACAATGATGTTGGAGTTGTTAGTGGCTGTGCAGTGCACTCACACACACACACACAAGCACTCATTCACACATACATGCACGCACATGCACACATACACACGGACGCACATGCACACACACACACGGACGCACACGCACACACACACACACACACACGCACGCAAGCACACATACATGCACGCACGCACGCACGCACACACACACACACACACACACACAAACTTCCCAATTCAGTGAAAGCTTCATCTGATCTTTTCTGGACCCAAAAGTGCATCGACAGGGAAGTGAGTCGAGGTCGCACTCGTCTTAGTCGCATCAGGAAGTGTGACAAGAAGTCAGGCTGAGACTCTGCTTCTGCTTTTCACGGCGTTAAAACACTTTGAAATTCTTTATTCAGCTCAAAAACCAGAGAAATAAGCAAAGTGTAATTTCTTATATCAAAGACGATCAGAAATGCAGGAAATGGAAAACGATGAATGGAATAAGGAGTCATGAATCATGTACATCTGAAACCATCACTCATGTGTTCCAGTGCAGTGGCGTTCTCACTGATGATGTCAGTGCTGCTGATAAAACACTGGGTCTGATTTAGCAGCAGTGCATTAACTGGACGTCTGCTGAGACTGTTTCTCCTTTTCCTATTGGCTGCTCTCTCTCCTAATGCCTAAACGCTCCTGTGAGGTCTTCCTCTCCTCCTGCCTGGCAGCTCCAGCATCAGCATCCCTCACCACTACAGATCAGTGTTACCTGCACACAGTCCACAGAGACTCCTGCCTGACCTCATCCATCAGCCTGTCCATCACTACGTTAAACCTCACCACCGTCTCTTTGTCCTCATACCTGTCCTGCACCACTCTCACATACGTCTCCGCCACTCTGACCTCCTCACGCAGTACCATCGTCACAGTGAAGCTCCTTCTCTGTACTCCTCCAGCCTCACCCTCAAACTTCACATCTCAGCATGAAGCCACACCGCTGCTCGCTGACAGCCGCCTCTCTTCAACAGCTTTTTCCCATATCTTCATCGCACGGCTCATCAACTTCATTACTTTGATCCACATGTTTGATCTGACCAACATTTCACACCGGATGCCCGGTGCTTGGAAGCAGCGCGGTGAGTACGCAGGAGATTGTTTATCTTCTGTAAACAGCCTGATGTTTCCCACACTCAGCAGACTTCTTTCTTTTTTCAATGAGTTTTGGAACAAAGTGCATTTTTGCACAATAATGAAACTCTCGATTAATGCTCGGACTTTTATCCGGACTTTTTTTGATTAAACTTTTATCATGATAAAATGTCCTAATTTCCCCATTAATCATTTAATTTAAAGTAAGCTCCCATACTTATTTAATTGTAAAGATGAATCTGAGCCACATTTGAATATAGCTAAAGCATCCAAATAACAGATTAAAAAGTACCGTGATCACCATCTGTGACATCGTCCTCCTTTTTCTGTATTTAATGCATGTTACATAAATCCTAACGCACTGCTTGCTTCTCCAAACATCCTAATTACACCCACGGCGTGTGGGGGAGATGGAGTGTGAAGAAGATCTTCCCGGATGTGTCCTTTTAACTCTTTTACAGGCGCTTCCACCTGAGAAAGACTCCGGGGAAAAGTCTCGATGCAGGGATTTTACATCCCATCTGGTCCGGGAGTGCTACAGCATCCCCCAAGAGGAGCTGCAGGAAATATTCAGGCATCTGTTTCTCCTGCAGGAAACTGACAGCTGATTAAAGTTCAAATCTAACAGCACAAACATTTACCTGATGCTGAGGACGCACGCTTCCCTCGACAACAAGCTCCTTTTTAAGGAAGCCTTTAGAAACCCACCCACACATCACGCCCTGAACAGATAAGTGCATATACCTACAAGTGTGCAGTGCCAAGTGGCCCACATACATCTCTGCATACTCACTAATGATGAAAAAGCAGAGCGAGTGTCCAAACAACACATCAAAGCAGAAACAGGGGAATCAGCAGGAGCGAGAAGGAGTGAAAGTTTTCGAGGATCAAAGAGCACCTTTGGAAAAGACTCCCGTCAGCTTCTTTGTCTTCTGCTTTCATGGTTTCACTGTCAGCAAAATCGGCTTTGCAACAACTCCAGCTCACTGACAGTACACCACAGCTCTGAATAATTAACGCTGTGGACTGCAGCGTGGAGGAAAATGCATTTGTTCATTGAAACTATAAAGCGTGTTTGTTTTGCCTTCAGGGAATCTGGAGGATTAAAAAGAGACGAAGCTTGAAGCTGAACGTGCACGAACGTTCCTGCAGGAGCTGAAAGTCCAGATGGACACCTTCCCCTCAAAGAGAAGCTCCTTGATGGCCAAGAGGAGGTGAGACGGTGAAACTAGCTGGCCTTGTTTCACCCAGAGCTGGGAGAAGACACGGGAGTCAAAGGTGCCAGCCCCCAAAATCTAACATAAACCCTGCAGGGTGGACAGCGATGACGCGGACGCGTCAGAGCCTGGATGGATGGAGACGTCACAGCAGAGCTATTGATCTACAGCCCGTCTTCAGCCTCCGATTTGCACTTTGCAGAGGAAAATGGAGCCAGGTATCCATGGAAACTGAATAATCGCGCGGGGAAGAGGGGGGAGAAGGCGAGCTCGGGTGCCTTTATGGTTTCGCAGAGCAATAAAAACCCAAACTGAGAACCGCAACAGGAGACGGGGTGACGGCGGGATCTGTCGCAATAAGCGGCAACAATTCTGTAGAATCGAGTGTAAGCGCTGGTGGCGGCGCGGGAGCTGCGCAAGCAATAAAAACGTCTTCCAGGTGAAGCCTGATGGAGAAGCCAACACTGCAGGTGCTGTGAAAGCAATCACACCTGGGAGGATTTTATGTGGGACTCTAACCTGGTGACAGGATGATTTTCTGGAAGGATTGTGCTTCCTTTATCTCCTCGTTTAGAACTACATCAACTTATGACTTTCCTGCTGGGCTGCTCTGTTATTGCTTTAATGCCAGTGGCACAGGGGGGTGGACTGCTGCCCATTTCAGACTAAATACAAGTTGTTTTCCTTCACTGAAGCCCTGAACTTTGCTAGATATCACCGGGAAGAAGCTGCGCATCCTGTAACTTTCACTTAGGTGTTCACTTAGGAAATGGAAGGAGTTCTGTAAACTCTGCACCAGGCCTCTCAAACTCCAGTCCTCCAGGGCCGGTGTCCTGAAACTTTCAAGTGTCCGTGCTGCAATTAGTAGGTCACTAGCAAGACTTGACTGCATGCTGAGGTGGCAATGCAGCCATTTGACTCATGTCAGCAGGCAGGCACATGGAAAAGTTTCAGGACACCAGCCTTAAATTCGTGGTGATATTTTGACTTAAGATCCACTCTGTAGTCCACATGTTGTCCTGACATTCAATCTCAAATCTCACTTTATCTGGTAAACAAAAAAACGTTTCTCAGCATCTTTGGCTTTTGTTGTTTTTTATTACGAATGCTAAAAGTTCATTTCCCATAACCTGAGATAAGCACCAGCATCATGTGCTGAGAGACGTTCCCAGCAGAAACAGTTTCTCAGTCTTATCTGTCGTCTGCTTCAGCGGCGTTTTTACAGCCACGCTGGGAGCAGCTAACGAGCTTCTTCCTCTCCTCCTTTTTCCTCTTTTTATGGCGCTGCGAACATTAAGATTACGATCTACTGTTTCAGACTACTATAAAGATAATTACTGGAGTTAGATATTTGTAGTTTTAAAGTATCACCCTGTACTGCGAGACCCTACGGCCAGGCTGAGGTGCACACTGAACGACCCTGAACGATATAAAAAGATTCGCTGAGATCGACAGATTTTCACTGCATGAGGCTGAAAACAGAGAAAACTCTCAACTCTGATCGAAGGTGAAGGTTTTGATGTGGTCACACCCTCCTCTCCTCCTCATCCATCAAAGCTTCGCAGCTTCTACCGGCTATTCGAGTGGGAACGCTCCTCAGTGGAGTTTCATAAATCAGGGATTTGAGGATTCATATGTACATATATTAACACATATTTGCTGTAAAACGGAGAAACGAATCATCTCACGCATGAGAAATGGGAGCAGAAAGTTGCTTTGCTTGGTTATCCAATCAAAACTTTCTACATTAATCAATTAAAATATTCATTAGAAATGAGCTCAAGAAGGCCAACAAGATAACGAAGTCATTTTAGGTTTACGCGACTCATCGCCGCTTGGCTCTTACCAGCCATGGTGGAGATCCCCAGAGTGACTCCGATGGAAAGTTCGATTTGAGTTCCCTGGAGAATGAAAGAGAAAGAGGTGAAACGCTCATCCCGACTCAGAGTTAGCACATCGGGAAGAGCAGACAGAAGGAAATTACAGCCTTAATGCAGAGATAAGACTCTTTTTTCTTTACAGGCGACTAATTCCTGCAAAATGAGATTCAAATACTTACTGCTGCAATCATGATGGCATTATCCAGAAAGCCAAATCCAACAAAGGGGATGGCGTTGTGGAGTAAAACTGCAAATTAACAGAAGGAAAATGAAAAACGTGGAAAGCACAGAACAGATTTATTTGAATGTAACTTGGAATAATTTGCACAGTGAACAGCTTCCCTGTATCTGTGATAACGGCTTGTTTACAGGAGACCCGTTCTGCTCATTTCCACCTGCATATTTATATTAACTGGCTCTGTAAGATTATCTTTGCATCACTCAGACAAAACAGTCCTTATGCATCTTAAACCTGGCCTCGGTGACGCCCTTCAGTTCAAGGCTTTGCGAATATCTGCTTTTTAAGGCTGCTTCTTTTAAAGAAGACTAACTGATCATCTTTGATAAGAGCAGCATCCACTGTAACAGCAGAATAGTTAATAAAGCTAATTATTGATTTTAACTTCATATTTCTATTCGAGACATTATATGTGGGAAGCATTCAAAGACAGTCCAGGGCAAAGTGTCTTAAACCTGCACTCCTTCTAATCACCAGCAGGAGGCGACTCCTCTGGCTCGCTTGATTCGTGACCTCGGTAAACATGATTTTGTGAATTTCAGTCCCAGTTTGAGTTGGACAGACGATAAAGAAGGTCTGCTTATTAGCTAAAGACATGTCGTTAGCCGTGTCCTTCGGCTCAGTCGGGAAAGCAGCCACTCTTCACTCCTCCCTTCACAGGACAGGCAGACTTAATCGGTTACGTCCATCTTTTTTATATAGTATCATTAAAATCTGTCTGATTGGTGATTCTGTGCATGCATTTTTAATGTCCCGGTGACCAATGACAGTCACTTGTGAGGACACACAAGCCGGTCCTCACAAATTTGAAGCATTTTTGAGACTCAAAATGTGGTTTTAGTGTCAGGGTCACAGTTCGGTTATGGTTAGGGTAAGCAGCATATAAATACACACGTATGTGTGCGCGCACACGTATGTGTGTTTGTTTTAATCTCTCACCGTATCTGATCTGGGCTGCCGTCGGCGGCGAGGGCTCCACTTCATCTGAGAACAAAAAAAAAGCAAAGAGAAAATCAGAGTTTCACTCATTAACTGCTGAGGTTTGACTTCAAGTGTCTGCAGCAGCATGGAGACGCAGCCAGAGACACGCATGCACTTCTTTAGAACTTCAACTTTAATCATGGAGCTCATCAGTGTGAGGTGCAATGATTAAACGCTCACACCACCACCCCACGTTTCATTTATGCAAATATAAACCAAAAGGAATTTAAATCGAGTTAAAACACCAAGACGAGGCCACTTTTGTGTTTATGGCTCATGCTGTGTATGCTGCGCAGTGGATTCCCACTCTGAGTTGGGTGGGTCTGTCACCAGCCACAGCAGCTGGTCATTTACTTGCATTGCAGGACTAACACAGGGACAGGTGTCCACTCACAGCACGTTCACAATGACTAAGCTAACGCTGATGCCTGTGGACGGTGAGAGGAAAGCTGGAGTCCTCGGAGAAAACCAACGGAGGCAACAACGCTAACCGCTGCACCACCGAGCCATCGGGAAGGAAATCCTGTTTCCAAATAACGTTCTTTTCCCCCCAAACTTGATATTGTTTCTGCTGCTCTCTAACAGCCACAAACTCAGGTATCAAAGGGCTTCAAATATGAAAATAATGCATAAAAACCACAGTTAACTACCAGCAGATTCACTGAAACTCTGCGAGAGCGGCTTTCTGACGTCCATCCACAGACTGGCTAATCTCACGTGTTGGTTTGGTCCTCTCACCTTAATTGGTGCGAGGAGCAGCAGACTGGCTGGTGTGTGGAGCGCCCTCGAGAGACGCTGAGATAACTCGACAGAAGTGTGCCACTGGAGCAGACCGCACTCTCGGCCAGAGTCCAATTACAGGAGCGGGTCGATTACTGCGACGCATCAATTTCCCGACCTCTGCCTGTGCGTCTGTATGCTCCTCACACACTAGCTTCACCAAGTTTTCCTCCTGTTCTTAGAGCAGACAGTTTTCTCTGTGCACCCTCGGCTCTGAGGGACTGTGAGGCAAGAAGCCTCAGGTTAGACTCGTTTCCCCAAAATAATTGTTTAATAAGTTTATATCCTTAAATGTGTGCAACCTCACACAAACAATGATTCGCAGCCTCCTCAGACTGAGGCAGCATTAATGTATCGCTGGTATCACAGATACAGGTTTTCTCTGCCGCTGTCATAAGATAAGCAGATGAAGAGAAGTAATAAGAACAATATTTTATTTCTGTCAGCCCGAAACAATCAGCTGAGGGAAAGAAAATGAAGATTATTTCCTTCATTTTCTGTTTCTCGTTTTAAAGCCACACACAGAACATGATCAGAAAGCACAAACAATAAAAGATCATGGACACGAACATGAGCTGTGGATAACCTTCTTTAGTTTGATTTAGTAAACTGGATGGAAACTTAAATGTTGCTCCATGTTCAGTTTTAACTGGGAGGGCAGTGAAATGTTCAAGACCGATGATCAATATTTGATTTGGATATGCAGGAAACCAGTGCCAGCAACTGGGCTGATGGGATCCACATCCCTGATCTTAGAAACATCCTGTAGCTGCTTAGTTTAGTTGAAGAGGAGAAAATAGAATAAAAGAAACCCTGTGCCCTCCTTATTCAACCTAACATCCAATTACCACAAACCTCCAGCCTTTGTATTTGACTCTGAACAACTTCTCACGAGGAAAAAGAAAAAACATTCATACTGAAAGAAAAAGAAATCCTTCAGCTGAGGAAACCAGCGTCTACAAATTAAAGCTTCTCCGAAGGATCCGACGCTTCCTTCTGCTTCCTCACTGAAAGCTCAATAAGCCAAAGTTGCCAAGCAACAAAATCCCGTTCCAGTCAGCGAGGCCAGGCCTTAGCAACAACATTCATCCAGGAAGTAACTCGGCTGAAGGGTGTGAAGGAATGTAACAGGTACAAAATGTCACTCTTCACTCATCTTTAACACAACAGGATGCCTCTGAAGTGTAAGGAGAGCCTCTCACACATCGGCACTGACAGCTTCCACTACAACAGCAGCAGTCGATCCCTCGCAGGCATGGAAAGCACTGCTGGCTTTATTTTGGAGGTGTAATATTAAAAAGGAACGACAGGTGAGAGGCTGAGACGTAAATGTGTGATCCTGCCAATCAAGCGAACTGACTGATGCTCATTAAAATTCAAGCAAATGACCAGAAAACCAACTGAACTCTGAGATATTTGAGAATTCTGCAGTGTTTCCCGCCAACTGAACGGCTTTTTGTGCTGTCAGCATATGTGAGTTTGCTGGGACGTACTTGTGTCCAAGTGGCATGAATATCATCAGATGGTGAGCTCGAGGCGCTGCGTAGATGCCCGAGTACCTGCCAAGTTTCGTCTGACCATATGGACTCATCAGCAGGGCATTATGATTAAGGGTGTGCATGACCGGACAACTACATGTTTTAATGTTGCAGCCTTTGCTAGAAACACTAAAACACCGTAAAAAGATGCAACAATGCTACGACCACCAGCACCGGTCTGCAGTACTTTGATATAAAGACTGATGTCAGCTCGGTCAGAATAAACTGGAATGTCACCAAATCGGTCGAGGTGACGTGTGACCACATTCTGCACAGAGGAGTGGACGCGAGCGTGGAAGAAGTACTGCCCCTCAGGTTAGTGCTCAGTTTTAGTCAAATAGACGTTTTTTGTGTGTTAGACGTTGAAACAAGAACAAATTAGTTACAATACACCAGCTACACACTGGCCTTTTAGGCAGACTTCAAAGAAGTAAAACAAGAATGAATGTTTGATCATGAGGTCTGCAACCGTATAGTTCTGTTATACTCTGTTGTGGTGTGCAGAAAAGAACTTAATTATTCCACTTACAGGTTTGTACATTTGTACTTTGTGACAAATAACTGAGGTTGAGTAGTTCTGGGAACAAGTCTGCAAAAATCCCAAACTTCACCCGATTAAATTCAGTCAACCTCACGATCGAGAGCATGTTCTCTGCGCGTGCAGACAGACTGGGATCGCTGGAATCACTCATTCGGGGTCCCATTCTGACCAGTTACACTGTGCACTTCAGACCTCAAACTGGTGCAGACAGCAAACATCGACTTCTGGTTTAATTGGACCCAAGTTTCCTGTGGAGGAACATCTCTGGAGAGGCCCGTCTGGCTGCAGCGGAGACGTTTTCAGTTCACAGCTTTCAGGCCTGAAGGCAGCACGTCAGGCGAAGAGTGCGAGCGCGTATTTATATATTTGTGGGGACCACAAATTGGAAGTTTACTATACTTGTGGGGACCAACAGCCCTTATGGGGACCAAAATCCTGGTTCCCACGAGTCTGAAGGCATTTTTGAGAGCTATGGTTATGTTAGGTATTCATTTTTCATGGTTAGGGTTAGGGGCTGTCCCCACAAGATATGAATACCTGATGTGCGTGTGTGTGCGTGGGATATCCACTGAATGTCAATGAGAGGATCTGGTGGAGCTGCAGGTTCAATCCGATGTGATTTATTCAGATAATGTTCTGATTATACTCGCACGCAGGGCCGCCTCGCTCTTCACACAATCACTGGAGTTTTCATTATGCAAACATCTCAGGAGCTTGTGTCTCACAATTTATTGTATTCATCGAGAGTGTCACACTTCATTAGTAATTCATAGAGTGAGTATTTACACTTTTACTTTTAAAGAAGTCCATGCAAAGAGAAAAGAGAAAGAAATGATAATAAACTCTGTGTACTTCAGCAGCATTATGAATTGCAGATGTTGTGCTCTGGCAGCAATAATTTCCCCTGACAGATGATACACTTAAAAAAAGCTCAAACCTGACCTTAAGCCTAATTATTATAAAGCACTAATTGATCTCTAAAGTTAACCAAAACTAAATAAAAGCTTTGAGCAGGTCCAGCCAGTGAGACCTTTAATCTTAGAGCTGATCAATGAACCTATAACACATTAATCTGAGGAGCACGGCGGTACAGTCTGCTGTGAAAGGCTGGGCCTTCATTAAACACACTTTGATCTCAGCAGCTTTCAACACTTCTTTAATCAGAGAGGCCAGCGTTCAGTTTGAGTGTCTCAGAGGGCGATACCTCCAGTTTCATCAAACTGGGAGGGTGAAGGCCACACATGTGTGTACCGTGTTTAATCTCCGTCAACAGATGTGCGACATAAATATGTAGGATCACAACATCTTTGGTTCCCGTTTGCAGTTCAGGTAATACTGCTGAGTTTGTGCAGGCTTGGACTGGATGCAGAGAAACAGACCACGAGAAGGACAGAATAAATACTGCATTTATTAAAACGCAATCTGAAAACCATCAGTAATGTGTTTACATTCATAAACAATGGAGGGCACACAGAACACCATCTGCTGTGTGGAGATGCCCTGGCTACACTGAAAGCTGGCAGCTGAGCTGCCCACAGAGGCTAACCACAGGAACACGCTGGGAACACGCTGGGAACACGCTGGGAACACACTGGGAACACGTCTGTGACGACTCGACTAAAAATCAGCAGAAGTGTTTGAGAATGCTGCTGACTTCCTGCCCTCTTCCTCAGCTGAGTGCAGCTTTGCTCTGGAGCCATTTCAAACAACGTGGAGCAGAGAGCAGCTTCTGAGTGCAATTTGATGGCACTGTAAGCCAAAGCGACTCGAGCCGAGTCTCGAGCGGGTGAGATTAGATCCAGAGCCCACATCAGAAGCAGAGCGTGACAGAGCATTGCTGAGGTGGCCGATAAATCTGCAGGTAAGTCTGCAGACTAGTTGGGATTTTGCATTCATGCAGAGTGTACGTGTCAAAGGAAAATCCAAGTTAGAGATAAAATGAACTGTTACTTACATTAAGCACCGTTTTTCACAATAAAAGTAACAATACAGGAACAAAGCGTTTGCTCTGACACTTGGAAACTCACAGGTTTGAATTTGTGGAACTAAAACGTTCCTGAAAAGCAGCACGACTCTGAACTCATCATTAATGTTTCTGAACGCAGAAATATTAAAACAACAGAAACAAACCAAAGATGAAACGT